CTAATATATTAAATAGTAATCGTTAATAGATTTACGAGTATACAGTATTTAGAAAAAATACCCCCTCTGCAAACCTGCATACTAAGCGAATTTCCGTTTGCCCAACTGGATTTTCACTATAAAAAATATTTCCTTAAAGTTATCAAATTTATTCCATATTAAAATAACATTAAGTTTAATGAGTACTTAGGTTTGCTGCTACAGGTATGGTCACAAAGTGTGTTTAATTATTAATAGCTTAGTACGAAATAATAAAATTGCAAAATTTAAACTTAATTATAATATAATCGATCGAACTACAACAGTTTATTTATTCTTCGTAACATGAAAATTTTCAATTTAAAGTCTTTCTTTATTCGTTACCATTAGGCGTACAGTAACGCTTCAATAGGACCGATACTAAAATATGTAAAGTCAGTTATTTGTTATTTATGCTCTACAAACTGGTCTGGAAAGAAATTTTGACATTTCATATATTGGATTCGAAATGGGGAAAAGTATGTCTACCATTACCAATGCTAAATTTGATATATATTAAATATTTCTAACATTTACACAACGATATTAGCTCATCCATGTGATGTTATAATATTGATACAGTGTAGTGTTTGCTACAAATTTCACTCGTGCAATATGGGCGGCGTTTCAGCCCTCAATATTCATAACCCTGATATATGCTTTGTTCTTGGTTCGAAAGTAGACCGCGCATTTACATATAGGATACATGTAGACTTTCATTTTCACTTTGGGGTTCTGTTACGTAATTTTATAACCTCAAAACGACGATATTAATAATATCAGGGTTTGAACCGTTCCTTTACCTAAATTTGAAAAAAAATCAAAATTCATAATTGTTACATATTGTTTCAGAATCTTTGTAGTTGGCAATGGCGAAAATTTTTTTTTTATTAATTAAGGAGGAACACACTATTAGGGTGTATTTTTAACCCAAACATGAGTGAAGGATGAGGATAGTATGGAGTGTGATTCCTTGTGTAGCTTTGTTACTGACTAAAATCAGCTGTTTCATTAGTCAGGATCATTTATTGAAAGCCAAATGATCAGGACAGCTGGGTCCAGTTTTGAACCATCAGAAAGCTACACACTTTTTCTCAGGATCCGAGGATAGAACCAGCGATCTTCTGATTACTATGCGAGCGCTATAACCATTCACCTACCCAGCTATACAATTCATTATATTACATTACAAAATGCATAATACAAGTTTGTATACAATATCTTGTATACTAAAAAACTTTTGCAAAACTTATGACAGCAAGCCTGGCTATACTATTGGACCGAATTACACGCGGTTGGTACCAAATGAAATATATTTTCTTGTAGATGTGCAGAATCCCTTTGTAAATTAAAATAGGTTCAAAAATAAGCACAAAAAATGAATTTTAAATTTTAAAAAATAGCATGGGCCTTACGAGTTGCCATGTTGGTGACGAAATAACAACAAAATATAAACAGAAAATCAAAACAAATCAAAGAAATTCCAATCACATGTTTTATTTACAGCATAGGTTGAAAATAGAGAAGTTTGCACAATATATACTTTTGGTCGAGTTTTCGACAACGGGACGAGCTCTCGTAACTAACTACTATAATATAACTTACTCAATATCCAAACAATATTTTGACTGTTTCCCAAAAGGTTTCAATGAATAGTATATATAGCAAGAATAGTTATAGAGTTCACATTCAAATCTTAAGAATCTTTTGATCCCAAGTAGCGTCGATTGTGGTATGTGGACCTAAATGTGATTTGTCATTAGGCTACCATTTAATAATGAAACAAAAGTTCAACTGTATATGTAACACTATCGCTTTTCTATTACGAAAGACCTAAACATTCCAATGGCGTACAAACACACAAAATAAAGATGATTACTATATGATTCAATCCATCCAACGCACTGTCTCAAGATTGAAGTCCTTTGAACATTAAGGAATGTAGCCTGTATCTATATAACGGTGTACCGTAAAGAAGCTAGTCACCTGCGGCTAGATTATGTTCAATAATGCCTTCATACGTCAGGTGATCAATCAAAGACTGCTGTAGACAGCGCCTGCGTACAGCACGGGCACTGGCCTCCCACTACGGTAGTGATTAATTATACCTTATCAGCTGACAATACGGGCTAGATTGAAAGTTGATGGGCTTTGAGGTGACAATAAAGTAATAATTATATAAGTAAAAAAGATACAAACGTGACAAATGTGATTAGGTATACTGTACTTCATTAGATGCTAGTACAGGATTAAATATAATATGCTTAAGGATGACAGTAAAGTACAGTAAAAATCATACAGTTTTCGTCAGTTTCTAATCATGATATGGACCTAACAGGGTTTATCTGTTCCTAAATGTGAATCAAAGATGGAAGAATGGAGTGAGATGACGTGTGTTTGTTACCAAACTACCTGTTTCTTTGGAGATTACCATTTGATTTGAGTCCAGTGATTGAACAGCTGGGGCCAGTTTCATGCAGATCTAGAATTTTTTTTCAAGATCAAAAAGTACAAACAGATGATCCTCTATCAATAGACATAAACACTGAAACTACTCAAAATTGCTTTCTAATCTAATTTAATTAATTATGATGTGTGCAACGATCAGCATGTCATTCTCCAGGACTCTTTCCTTATTGTAGAACGCCTTCAAAGTTTGTACGGCAGTTTCAGTACTTACTCGTCTGTAAATAGTAGAGTTTCTTGCACGGCGCATTTAGAATCCACATTGTGTGACTTGAATATACTGTTCCAGCAATACTTACATAAGTTTTTAACTTAGGCTGTAATCCATCTAGACGTAAATCTTTACTGCTTCAGTATTTGTTTTTTACTAATACTACATTATGTCAAGAAAAGATTCTTTTAAATGTAGGATATTATAATTATACGTAACCTTTAGTTTATAAGCATTATGTATACATATGTACAAATGCATAAACTTAATTTTATAATTTTGAATCTGTTGGTCTATGCTAAACAGATCATGGCCGTGTCTCTAAGAACACAAGGGCGTGGTCCAGTCGTAACCTTTTAAACATTGTCACTTTCACAATATTGCAACCAGACAGCGGGTATTGTTGGCATGGACCCAAAGTTCACGAGACAGTTTTTCACATCAGTTGTAAAACTGTACTTATATCTATACATTACGATTACACTTTCATGTGAGACCATTTTAACATTCAATCACAGACAAGGGACTTAGTCAATGATTCAATCTACAACACCCCCGCCACAGCGAACCTACAGACTACACAAATTTCCATTTACCTGGCTGGATTTATACTAAAATATTTGCTTAAGATTGTCTGATTTATTTCCTATTTAAAAAACAATTTTTGTTTTATTGAGTAATATTAATTTCCCTGTCACAGGGAGGGTAATAAGGGGTGTTCTTATTGAAATATTGATAGCTGAATATGGAATAAACAAATTAACTCAATTTGATCAAAATTTATCCATAAACAACCAAACTACAACAGTACCAGTTCTTCAAAATGAAGAAAAGGAAGAAAGGATTTATTAAATTTTATCCTTATAGGGTCGAAGTCAAATCTCTTTTCAAATATTTATTTAGTATGATATTTAGTACTTACATAGCCTAAATCAGCAATATTTAACACGTATGTTTCCAAATCTTCCCGGGGGCCTGGGGATGTGGAAAGCCCCACCAGGACCAGGACCCTCAGGCCTGACCCCCCCCCCTGGGCAAAATCCTGGGCATGCCACTGAACACGAGTATATACATAATCTATGAATGAAACTCCACTCTGACGAGCTGCAAAACTAAAATGCAAAGTTTAAGGACCCTTTTCTTGTTATAGAGGACTGAGGAGTTTCTTCGATTAAAGTAAAAACAGTAAAAGCTTGAGGAGTATGTTTTATCTATGGTAAAAGTAAAAGACCAAATTATTATATAGCCTACACCTTTATTGCATGGATATTATATCTTTGCTAAACTATTTACAATATACTATAGTAAAACGGAGAGGAAAATATTCCTAGTTGACCCAAAAATTAATTGATCTTAACCCTAATCTTGAGTTTTTTTATGATATAGGTAATGGATATTTTGTGACAAGAAAATTAATAACAGCTTGATGTCTAACCATTCTGAAGCTGCATGATTACGATTACAGCAGTATGTCGTGTGATTTATAATAATTACAGTTGCATGCTTATGAAAAAGCGATCCAAAATGAAGAAAATTGAAACTTATAAACTATGCAGCTTCACAGTTTAAATAAAGCCGGCTGTTTTGGAAAAAAAAGCTTATATGGAAAAAATACTGACGACAGCAGACAGCTGACTGACAGACTTATATCCGTCAATCTGTGGGTCTGACTTAGGGGAGGTACGAATGAGGCATTTAGTTCAAGATTCCTCCGTGATCAGCGCTGTAGTAGAGAGCACTTTGGCAATAAAGGGTTACTAATCGCAAAAATAGTTTTGTTCATAAAATAAAATTATAAATGTCTCAAATTCAATTTTATTATTTTTTAATTATAAAATTAAACTATCATAACCTAACCGAACTAACCAAACTTGCTGATAAAGAAATAATATAACAAAAGTTTAGTAATCGGAAAAATAATTCTGTTTATTAAATAAAACTAGAATTTGCTCAATTAAAATTTTATAATGGCTTAATAATAAAATTAAACTGTAATAACCGAACCAAACCAACCAAACTTGCTGATAATAAGAAAATCTTGGACAAAAAGTTAATGCAACCAGCAGGATTCGAACCCGGGAACTACAGTATAACAGCCCGGCACGCTAACCATTAGGCTACCGAGGCAGATGACTACTGATCGTTTTGTTACGGTAATGGCGATCCCTCAGCTAATAAGAAGCCCACAGCTGTCATCGTAGCCTCTTCTGTACCTCCCCTGAGTAAATACCTCAATCTGAATCTGTCGCTCCGACCGAAACAATAAAAAATAAGGTTATGACTTTGTTAGGTTAGGTTCTTGTTCTTTCAGTTTCAGTTTCAGTGCCATGCTATGTGTGTGTTAGTGTTTACACAATTAGGGGTTGTTTATTAAATCATAATCTATTACATAGCTTACCTATTGGGTTATTGAAATGGCAAAGAGTAAAGAATTCAGCCTAGATGACATTGACCTAAACGACCCATTGTCAACTTTGACCAAATCTACATCTAGAGTTGAAGAGGTTATGAAGAAAAGTGTTATTCAACCGGGATTTGAACAACAACAGCATATAGCCAACTCCAACATAAGTTTAAGAAAACAGAGACTGGAGCGTAAGGTGGGTTCATTTTATTTCATTTCATGGGTACACTTCCACATCTGTTGGCAAAAACAACCGCATGAAAATATCGATCGATGTAGGCGTAAGTAGATTATAGCCTACAATAGATCGTTTGGTTAGTTAGGTAAGATTAACCTAACCTTACTAACCAAACGATATATCGAATTAAACAATCGAATAATCTACTGTATATTACTCATTCGGTTGTTTGTGCCAACAGATACGGAAGTGTACCCCATTTCATTACTTATGTAGCACCTACAATGACTTTACGCCCCACATCTCCTAGACTATACTATACATTATAAGCTAGGCATTAACAACCAGCTGATTATAAAATGAAACTGTTCTAAACCAACCTAACCTAACCAAAAATGCTGTAGGCCTAAGTTATGTGAGTAAATTTGGAGCGTTAACTTAAGTGCAGCCCCTAACTTATAATTCCTACGAATTTCCTACCTAGCCTACATGCCTTGAGCCCAATTCTTGCACAGACGTGTGCGCACCTGATGCCATGTGCCAAGCGTTTACGCCTTGGATGTGTGCTAAGAGTAGGCCTAGCCGAAACAGTGTCTTTTGTAGCCGCCTAATCCATTTTTCGTATTTGTTTAGCAACTCGTCATAACTTAGGATTTTTGATTGTGGTCACTTTTCAATCTGAATTTTACCTGTCACAAACACGGAAAACTTTAAAGTTCAATTAACTCAGAGAGAAATAACTAATTTTTGTTGATTATCTGTCACCCAAACTGTGTGAGTGAAGAAACCATAGACAGACTGATTAAAACGCCCAAATGCTTCATTAGATTTGCGCACATGTCAAAAGAGTGTCCACACGCTGCAACCTCAGATATGAAATGTGCAGTCGTTGTAGTCACTGACATATTTTTCTCAAACCTAACATAGCCTATTCTCGCAGACATGTGCGCACAACTCAATTTTGTTCAATTCTGTGGTCCATACGCTCACATTTAACTGTGCACATCAAGCTTGTGCAGACATGTGAGCGTGTGGACCGGGTTTTACAGGAGACTGCCTAGGTAAGCCCAACTAGAAATTGAAAATAATAGGGCTAACTTATCAAACGGTTTAACTTACCGATACCAAGTCAGAGGTCTGTGCAGAACTAAATTTTAAAGAGTCAAATTACTGGTGCACCTCACCAATTTGAATTTTTTTTATAATTCATTGTTTCCTAAGCCAGCCTAATCATATAGTTGTTGATAGTAGCCTCCAAGAGGAAAGAACCAAAAACATATTAGCCTATCAGTGTACAGTAGTCTTGAGTGATAAAGTTGATTAAACTGTGTAAAACACCCAAAAATGAGCTTATTGATTGTTCATATTTTTTTGCTATTTACGCCTTGACATTTTTAAAGAGGTATCCGATTAAATACACTGTAACTTACACCACCGCTTTTAGGGGATAATAGGCCTATGCATTTTAGGGCAAGAAGCCTAAACCCATGTTTAGTGGATGTGCCGTTAATCAAACTCAACCCTCTAACATCGAAGTCCAAGACGCTATTAAACACTAGGCTAACAACACACCCAATTTAATTTCATCAATCCCTATGAATGACTTTTTGATGCTAGTCCTAGTATTCCTGCCAAAATGCAATAACATAACTTGTAGGCTAAGGAAATAACTTTTGCCTTAGAGTAAACTGTGAACTGCCTCTAAGGAATACTGGATAAATTTTATCTCTTAGTTACGTAACTTAATTCTGTTTCAGATGGAGCGAGAAAGAACACGAGGTCCTCAGTGGTTTAATCTCGCTGCCACATCAATAACTCCTGAAGTGGAGAATAATTTGAAAGTGGTACAAATGAGATCAATCTTGGATTCCAAGCACTTCTACAAGAAAAATGATTTGAAAGTGCTTCCCAAGTATTTTGAGGTGAGTTGCTTTTGTTGTTATTTATAGTTTTATTCATTGCACATCTCTCTCTAGGCCTAGAAGTAAAACTAAACAAATTTAGATTCTGTCAGTGTAACAATGTGTTCACATAGTTATCTTTTAGTGAATATCGCTACAGGGAAGTCTAGGCCTATAGGGTCCGTTGGTGGAGACCAAGACCTTGGGACCGATATAATTATCCATTTGATGTTCTTAAACGCCAAAAACACAATTTTTTCACATTTTTATGAATGCATACAAATACATCTTAAGTTACTACTTGAACACAATAGGCTAACTTGAGCAATTTTAGTCCATTTTTGAAAATTTTGCAAGAGTGTTTAGTAGAGCTAACATTGAGCTTGGATACTAGATTGAATTCGCGAACCAACAGAGACTTGTGGCTGAGAGAATAGCTATTTGTGCATTAAGCGCGCAAAGTACGTCATTGCCGCTCGAGACCCGTAGGTAGCGGCTGATTAACTATTTTTATATTTTTATATTTTTGAAAGCGGCAATAAATGTTTGTGCTCGGAGTGCAAAAAAATTTTTCCTACCACCATAATTAACTTATTAATAACACAAAGATAAACTTTTTAGATGTATAAGTAAGATGTCATTTTGGTTATGACATTTTTGGTTACGTTTTTAAAGGTTATGTTATCCGGATCCGCTTCTGTGGTTGGTCTAGAAACGACAACCGTGAAATCAGCTTATGAACAAGCCGTAAATGATCCAAAATTTAAACATCTTTGCCACCAAGACTGATAATCGAATATATAATAGATTACGTACCTAACGCCGTGTAACCTTTGTCGGTTTGTCCTGTATTCAATGTGGCTTATCGTAAATGTATTTGTAACTTTTGTTTTTGTAAAATGTGTAAATTTTATGTGACGTCGACCTGCATGTATACATTGATGAAGACTTACGTCGGATATTTGACCAGAATCAATATGATGTTTTAAATAAGGATTTGATAATGGGTCTTTGTACCCGAAACTAGTCATCCATAGACTAAGTTAAGACTGAAGACGGAACAAGGTACGTAACCTATTATATATCCGTAATGATCTATTTCCGCCCTTAGAGTGGTATTTTTCCAATGAGCTATTTTTTCTTAATGTTTTCAGGTGTGGCAATGTGATTATTTCCATGCAGTGGTAGGAAAAATAAATTACCTTATTTCATAGAGTTATAATGGTGGTGTTTGTTCTCACCTTTTCTTATTAGTCAATCAAATTCTTCATTGTCAAGGACATTTTACTTTTTTTTACTTAGGCTAATCAATGAACAGAACATGGTCCACTGTTTTATTTAATCACCCAAGTTGGATGTTACAGTTAATTTTGAGGCCTTATTAAACAATGCATTCTTATCTTATCTTTTTAAACTTCCTCTTTCTGTATCATAATCAAATTAAGATTATCAACTTCCCCTCAGTCTTCTTGTGTTTTTATCACATGTCCAAACCACTCAATTATATTTTTTAATAAAATTGAAATACAATAGCCTATTTTAGTTTACTAACAATACTTAATCATATAAATTTTTCCTTGTGTCCTTGAGCTGCTTGGGCGAACTTTTTATAATTCCTTAAATGTTCCTGCTTAAGCATGGCTGTGTGCATATTTGATTTTTTTAATCACTTCTTTTTTTATATACAAAAATAATCAACTGTTAGTACAAGGATGATTTATTGTTTTGCAGATCGGAAAAGTACTGGACTCTCCCGCAGACTTTTATCATAACCGAGTTCCAAAGAAAGAGCGCAAGAGAACCATCGTAGAAGAGTTGTTAGCTGACGCAGAGTTTCAGAAGAAAAGTAAGAAGAAGTACAGAGAAATTGTGGCTCAGAGGAACAAAACTCATTACAAGGCTCATAAAATTGCCAAGAGATTAAAGAAGAATAAGAAAAAGTAGTATGTATTTAAAAATAATTGGTAAATAAAGTTTTTTTTACTTGAATCTCTCTTTATTATGGTTTAGCTTTGACTAAATGTGAATCTGGTGTCAAAACTCAAAACAAAGTAAGAACTCTAAAGAGTTCTAAAGAATCATTTTTTTACGGAAAAGCCTCCGTTTGGTCAACTACCTAGTTCAGGTATTCAAACAGTGGTCATCACTGTTCAATATGAACACATAGACCTGGTAAATCGTGTTGTTTTCTGATGACAAAATTGAGCCTATTCAATAAACCAACCATTCAAAATTAACTAAATTGCAAGAACAATACCTGGTGATACTTAGAACGGTTAGAAACAATTATACAGGAAGTAGAGTCAACCTCATTCAATGATTTACCAAAATGTAAATGGCATGCAGTGAAGTGATAACTGAAGATGATGTGTTGAGATCTGCAGAGAGATTGGGAAGAAAAAATCCTATCAAATTAGGGTTGAACTAGTGTGAGGAATATTCAGTTGTATTACAAAATATCCCAGAGTACTGGGAAACTGTAAAACAATAAAACAATGTATAAGAACTTCTATAATTTTTGATAGATTTTTGGGGAATGTGTAATTTGGTAGTAATAATATTAATCATGACAAGCCAAAGTATTATTTTCCAATTGCTAACCCCATCCTCATCCCAGGGAACTGTGAGTCACTTTTAAGGTCACTTGTCCAAAAAATAAAAGAGAAACATGTAAATGAGGGACGGACTAACTATACGAATAAAATTAATGTAATCAGGGTTAAAGTGACTCAAATCCTAATCGATTTTTTGGACGAGGAGGTAATTTTAGTTAACGACTGCCATAAGGAATTACCATCTTATCAGGTATGAATTGTATTCTCTTTGAGTAGGTAGAGTCCTTAGCATCAGAACAAGTGGTATTGTTCACAAGCTATTATCGTAGCAAATAGCATACAATATTGTGGGATGATTTGGTTGAGACGTGAAGATAAGACAACGGGAGGTGCCCACGATGTTGTCAGATGATTTCCAGGATAAATTGTTAGACTCAACAATTATTTGAGTATAACTTTGCCTTGTGAAACGCATTTCTAGTCATTGTGCTTAATAAAGTATAGTATTCAGATTTAATTGTTGTTCTTCATTGCCCAGCCATCCTGGCGCACAACATAAAACTATACTGAAATAGACGTTCTGTTTATGGATTGCTGTAGCCATAAAAAAAAATTCAACATAACAATAAGGGGACCTGTGCGCAAGTTGTGCAGTTTAATAGGGTTCACAACTTATTTCCCAGGCAACATTAATCCAGTGCAACATACCCATTTATCTTTTCAAGATTATGTTTGTTCTGAATAGTTATTAGGTGACCAGAACTACTAATTTACATTACGTTTATAGATTTTAGATCTACACTATAAAGAGTGATTATAACTATAAAAAGTAGTCTATTTAAAATAAGTTAGGTACATTTTCAATTGTTCTGTCTCTTGTTTACAATCTGACTGTGGTTAAACATTCAACTGAAGGAACAGCTGTTAAATTACAATTAACATTCAAACCGTTAAGTAAGTTGGTCAGCATATCAGTTACTTTGAAAATGGACTCTAGAAATAAATTAAACGTGAGGAGGGTGAAGCTCCAAAGAGTTTACCATTCGCAGGTGCGCAAGATCATAAGCTTTAAATGACAATTTTCCAGTACTGACGTTTTCCAGTAACGTTACGTAACCCTTGCATTTTGTGGAAATAAAAATTCTTGATTTTATTATTGAGAGATTATCGAAAGATTATTGATTCTTGACATCTCAATCGTAAAAATCGGTTAAGTAGTACGGCTGGAAAAGGGATGTAACAGGCAAAACCCTTACAGTATTGTATTATGTATATATAGATGGAATGAGCACAGCATCCCCATTTAGGATTTCCCCTTGAGTTTTGGGTACCATGATATTTTTTGTACCCTGAAAGGTGCTATTGGCTATCCTTTCAGCTAGACTTGGGTAAAAAGTTTGTAGTCAGGCTGTAAACAAATATATTAAAAAACAAAATCAGACCTTGAGTATTTTTTTATGTTAAATACTATTAAACCTGCTCACAAATTATGGAGCCTCAGGCAGTTGTTGAATTATAGTTCTTTTGCTTATTACTCTTAGATCTCCTGATCCATTTGGACATGGTACTCTACACTGCACGTGCTATTCTTACCCTCGTGGTTCTTTCATGAGGTTCAATATTATTTTTGTGGCTCTTTCCTCTCTTATAAATATCATTAAACCCAGTAAATATGACTAACTGTTGGCAGAAGCTCAGTTAGATCAAGTAAATACACAATGACCTTCGTCAAAAAGTTTGATACCAGAATAATTATTTACAAGAGGTTCTACCCGCAAATTCACGGGTGTACAGATCCACCATTAAATTAATTTAATCAACTTCAACTTTATATTTCACTTAAAGGGCCCAAGCTCAAGAAATTGTCATCTTAAAGGATGTTAAAAGCAGTGGAACCCTCATACCTTACGGTGGCCGAGGTGGGTACGGTTGTACCTGAACTCGCCGCTCTCCTCCACGACGTCTGTAATACTTTACTTTTCAATGAAATGGCAACCTGTTAAAGATCGGTGACAAACTCTTGGAACGAACAACATAGCCTACATGGTTTGTTAATCTCATATTCATCGTATTTCAATAATCTTTAATCACCCACTTGTATCAAACAGCTAGAAATAGCTTCACTGTCCACTCACCGAACCTGTTTTAAGAACACAAAACTAAATAATAAAATAAGTAAACAAAAATGTAAACAAATCAACTATATTGTCAATTGCATTGACCAGCTGTTGTTCACTAAATTAATCGAATAACTTTAACTTCCAAAACATGTAAGGCGTAGCCCTTTGGAAATCAGCCTGTGGGGCAGAGCCCTTAGGGAGTTCGTCCATATCAATACTTTTCGGCAAATCTACACACTCTGAGCTTCATTTTGATGTGCCATATGCCTATATTTTTACTTGATAAATGGCCTTAACCGTTTACATAAAATTTGATTGTATCACTTTAATAATATAATAGATTACCTTAAAAACACTAGTTCTTGGAGAAAACAAAAATCTATTGGTTGATCTACAAACACCTGAGCCAAATGAAAAATAAAGATAAGGCCAAGATCAAGAGACAGATGAAAATCTAGACTGAAAACTTTCTGAACAGCAAAATGTTGGCTATACAAGCTCAGTTCAGAGACTATCCCTTGGATATTTAGCCAAAACCCATGAGACGCCCTGAGCATACTCGTGCGGTACTCAACATTGCAACTACATGTACAGGGTTGTCCGTAGATTAAGTCTCTTTTGATTTTTCATAGTGGCCAAGAAGGCTAGTTCAAATCCGAGTTTAACATCGTGTTCTTTACTGCATCCATTACCATTCTATCCGCTTCTCATCCCTATGTGACGATTAGTCTTGTCAAAGTAGCAGAAAATGGTGTAGGGGAAAATGATCACTCCCGCTGAGTGTGAGTCATGTTCTATGTGGTCTAAGGCGTTCATAGCCATTTGACGGACATGAACAAAGTTAAGTGTTTGGACAAAGAAAATGTGTGCAAGATGAAGAGGGAATTTGGTTATCATATACGTTTAAACATGACTTTTGGAACTGTGTAAGATGCAGTGTTACTGGATGAGAGATTGCTCTACTGTTAGGGGACTCTTAAGACTACCAAGGTTAAAGGAAAACACTGGTTGTCCCTAATAAGCCCATAAGTAAACAAAGTTTTCTCAGTTTCAATCCTTGTCTTGATGAAACCGTTAAGTATACACATATCAGAGTGGACATTCAATGGGGGCTACTGTTACCGGAACAGCGCTGTTGCAGAGTAGCGTCAGCGGCCCGAAAAGTGCCACCTCAGGCATGTCGGTAATGCAGTTTAGTTGGTTTTTTTTTTAATATTGCGTTTGTTGTAGGTTGTAATATGTTATTTTTGTTGATAAGTTTGTTTGGTTGTAGTTTTGTTGTTTTATAATGCATTTTTAATACTAAATTGTTTCAAGGTGTTCAGAGGCGCACTGCACTACTGACCGACTACCGCGACCCAAGCGTCAGCGGCCCATACTACGTCGCCAAAATCGGTAACAACTATTAGGATTATCTGTCCCCTCTTATACGTGTATACTCAATGACAGAACCTAATGAACTCAGGCTGCCAGCCTTATTGAGCAAATGTGAGGCTATATGCGAGCTTTCCATGCCACTTATGCATATTTTCTACGTCCAAACACTTCTGCATACAAATCTGTCCACTAGTGATAGATTTCAATCACAGTTGGGGTCATCAAAAACCTAATCACAGTGCTCCCCTTACATGGTTTTCAGCTAAATGAAGTGACTAACTGGCACTTAAGCCGGGGTTACACTAGGCTGTTTAGCAGTCACTACTAACCAGCCGGTGGTAAATATTGCCAGTAGCCAGCGGATCTGTAGGGTTCACATTATAACCACTAGCTGCTAGGTAGTAAATAGCCACTAGCATAGATAAATCAGTCCCTTAGTAGATTTCCTATCCTTATGGAACAGCTGAAGCCAATTTTATTGTTATTTCTGTTCGGTTTTCTATAGATGTCGTGTTTTGTTTACTCAACAAAAAACATGACAAAAAGCCTAGTGTGATGTGTTAGTTAGTAAGACATGTTACGTCTTTTGTTAAGGTTGACAAGTTAATTTTTTTGCCATCCTCATAGTTATTTGGATTTGAAACGTTTTAGGGCACCATTTGGTTATTAGTGAGTCAATTTTGGTTTTCTTTATGTCAATGTTTATGTTTCGTCAAGACCTGTAAAATGATACCAAACTTGACTACTTGTAATTTGAAAATTTTTAGCTACCCCCTACCCCCGCTACCCCTAGGGGCAAAATTTTCAAAATTGACCATAATTATTGTAGCCCCTCATATCTAAGAAGGTTGCCGCAAACCGATTTCAAATATCTCAAATGGTTGAAAAGTTAAGGGGGGGTGCAAGTTACTTTTCAGCCACCCTGTATAAAAGGCAAATCCCTCACTGACTGACTCACTCACTCATCACTAATTCTCCCACTTCCCATTTACCTAGGAGGCTGAAATTCGGTACACCGATTCTTTGGGCATTAAATAGGAAAACTAAGTAGTTTTTATTCTGATCGGGCTTTCGGGCTCCGCCCCAGTGGCTCTAGAGTTTCCCATGTTAACCTTATGATTTTTCATATTTAAAAGGAATTTCTTAACAGCTGTTTTAATTAAACAAGTTGGTTCTGTTCTATAATGTTCAATAGCATTAAAGTTACAAGGATTACCAACAGGGTGCAGCACTATTATTTCCAATTTGCAACCAAAAGGTGAGTGAGCGTAGCAAACGAACTTCAGCCTGGAAGCGAGTTAGAGTAGCGAACGAGCTAACCTGAAGGCAAGTGAGGGGAGCGAACGAGCTCCAACCTAAAGGTGAGTGAGCGTAGCGAACAAACTTCAACCAGGACGTGATGAAGCCATGCGAACAAGCTCACCTGTGAAGTTAAACGGGGCAAAGCCCGCAGGTACAGCTAGTGTATTTATAAAGGTGTATTAAAATGTTTTCTTTGTATCATCTAAAAAATTTTCACATTGATTAACGTACATAATATCATAATTTAGCTAAATTACTTGTCTAATAAATGTAACGTTTCATTCAATCCGAGCAAAGCTCGGTCTCCTGGTACTAACTTTAATGAGTTAGTACCAGGAGACCGAGCTGTGTCTTAGGCATTCCTGTTCATCTAGTCGGCAGACAAAGCGTCCCACAGGCAAGGATAATTTTGGAATGAATCTAGAAATGTTACGTCTTTTCCCGACCGTTTGTGTCAACCAGATTCAATATTCACATAAATAAATATAAAATAACATATGGTATAACTAGCTGTACCCGCGGGCTTTGCCCCGTTTTACTTCATAAGTGAGCTCGTTCGCATGGCTCAATCACGTCCTGGTTGAAGTTCGTTCGCTACGCTCACTCACCTTTACAATGGAGCTCGTTCGCTGCGCTCACTTGCCTTCAGGTTAGCTCGTTCGCTACGCTAACTCGCCTCCAGGTTGAAGTTTGTTCGCTACGCTCACTCAGCTGTACCCGCGGGCTTTGCCCCGTTTTACTTCATAAGTGAGCTCGTTCGCATGGCTCAATCACGTCCTGGTTGAAGTTCGTTCGCTACGCTCACTCACCTTTAGGTTGGAGCTCATTCGCTGTGCTCACTTGCCTTCAGGTTAGCTCGTTCGCTATGCTAACTCGCCTCCAGGATGAAGTTCGTTTGCTACGCTCACTCACCTTTTGGTTGCAAATTAGCTGTTGTCATAGATAAAAAAAAAATAATAGTGCTGCACCCTGTTGGTAATCCTTGTAAGTTTTTAATGCTTTTGCATATCATAGAATCAACTTTTTAGTTGAAACAGCTGACAAATTCCTTTTAATATGAATACTCATAAGGTTAACATGGGGAACTATAGAGCCACTGGGGCGGAGCCCGAAAGGATTTTTGAGATAAGAATATGCCTATATGTTAATCGGGAATGTGAGCTATCATCATGCCAAATTTCAGCAAAATCCGTCCAGTGGTTAATGCGTTCACTTGTCACAAACATACATCCAAACTTTCTCATTTATAATATTAGTAGGATGAAACCAACACTGCATAAACCAACTGGACACGTGTTAATTCACCAGCCGCTTGTGAGAGCTACAATGGGTTCACATTGGCTTCCGCCACCAGCGAGGGGGTCACGTGACTGCCAGCGGAGGGTAGGCAGCGCTAAAAAGTTAAACATGTTCAACTTTTGATTTCGGCAAGTAAACACCAGCCCGCTGGTTCTGGGTCAGATTAGGCTGCTTGCTGGCAATATTACCAGCAGCTGGTTAATAGCACCTGCTATACAGCCTAGTGTGAGCCTGGCTATAGGGTGCTAACAGTTAGAATGGAAAGAAGGAAGGTGTTGGTCTCAGATTTGAGCTAGATTGCTTGGCAGCGACGGGAGCCCAATGGAGACCTTCATTTTCACACATTCTTCGTAAATTTGTTGTGTATTTTATTGCCCTCATATTATACAAGTAAACTACCATTTTCAATTGGATCCGAAGCTCAATTTAAAGACTTTTGAACATTTTGTCAGAAAGTTGTGAGAGAAATAAAATCAATGAAATAAATTTAGTAACCCTGCAACTGCACTGTTCAATTTTTCATAACCATAGCGAGGTGAGGGAGGTTTGTAACTACGCATCGAGATTCAAAATTTTTTATCATTACTAATATTTAATCAGTTAAACTTATAACAGAGTGAAGTATATTTTGTTTCGCTAGCAGATCTGAGCTAACACATTCCACAAAAACGTCGTATTTCATTAAATGTCCTTACCCGAAACCAATGTATAGTTAATAGGAAACACAATGAAAATCGGCAAATAACACTCATGGGCATACATTCACAAGGATTATATTTCTACATCATCCTTACAAATAAAGCTGTTTTACTGAATAAATTAAATGTATCACCTACACAAATAATTGAACATGCTATCATGCATACAAATATATCAATACATATAAATCATGGCAGATACCATAAAATATGAGCAAAACAGTACATACAAAATAGTAATACATTATATTTTCACTTAGAAAGCTCAAGCTTAGTTAATGGAATGGTCAAGTTTTAAACTTTACAAATCAACTTAGAACTAAGGTTATAAAGTGATTGGGAGCAAATTAAAAGAAGACATTTTTCTTGTTAAACTAAATATAACGGCTTCACATTGTATTTGTATTACCGTACTGTGATTCATGTGACATTAATGTCATTTTGTAAAAATCTCTCATATTGAATATCATGATTTTCACATCAAAATGATTTAATTTTGGAAACTTACAATCAACCAAAAGTACGTATTCTCACCCCAAGAAAAATCTTTTGTCATGAAACCTTGAGCATGCTGTAAATAATGAATGATCACAGTTTGAAAATAAAACTCTAAGCAAAAATAAACTATCAACGTGAGAAAAAATTTAAAAAAATAAATATCCAGTCTAATACACAAACTACACATCAATGTAAACGTTTCAAAACATCGAATCACAAGAAACATTCAAGATTATAAAATTGATCAAAATCTCTTTGAGCCTTCAATAAATATATAGGAAATTTTTACAAATATACAATTTAACGTTTGCTTTTTCACTAGAATAAGAGATCAGAAGCCATATCTTCACTCCAAGCTACTGTAGCTTCGGGCGGGGCAGGCTTGAGGTGTTCGTCTTCTTCAGTGTTGGCGGAGGTGTTTGCCGGGGGCGGAGGGGCTACAGGAGTCACTCCAAACTGCCAATCACTCGCTGACACTTGCTTAGGTGTGTACGTCCCCAGACTGCCTCCTACGGACAATACTAGGCTACACTACAGGGTTCTATACTAGGCAAACAGATGTTTACAATGATAAATCAACATACTGGGTCTGAGGAGATAATAAGGATCTATTTACTTTTACCTAGTCTATAAGCAGGGCCAACCCACAAGTCCACCATGTTTCAGGTTTGTTCGGGGCGCAATCAATGTGTAAGATAAAAAACTGTGGATCTGTCTATGAGAGCACAGAGAAGTAAGAAACAGAGGATACATTCAATAGTACACTTAAGTGATATCTAGCACCAGTCGCTGGTGTCAAGAGCAAATTCTATTTATCCTCCTCTACTGCTCTTTCCCCCTCGTCATCAAGTAATTTAGCACTCACCCTGTGTGCTACAACTGCTGAACAAAAATGCTATGTGGCCATTGCTGTTCTGACTCTTCCTGGCTCGTTTAAAAGTACATTTCCGCCCCAACATACCACAGCTTAAAGCACACGGTTGTCTAATTAGCATATATCCTCTGTATTTTACTTCTCGGTGATAAGAGTAAGATAATTCTTAGTAAAATCAATTTTTAACTTAGTCAAATGTAACTCTTGTGTTATCATAGATGCAATAAGTTTTTGCAGCATCTTATTTATTAAAACTCATTTGATTTTCCTCTTTAAACCTCTTCTTTCTGAATTTTATCTTGGAGTAAAACCACAGAGAAGAAGTAAAAATAATATAGTCAAGATGTAAGGAAAATTTTTATAACACCCACCAGTGCAAAAAAAATTTATTGAATTTGAATCCATTGAAAAAACAATTAGGATATTAAGGATTTCAAACAAAACTCTCTTTGTAGGCAATGGTTTCCTTGCAATCCCAAAATTCGGGTTTAGCAGATTGAAATTTTATAACCTTTGTAGTAAGTACTTAATCTTTTTTGAGATTCACTTTATTTGGGGATCAATTTTCAGATTTATTTTGTATTATTGTACTTCTTGGTTTATATCTACAATTTTCTTTACTTTATGAAGTTTTTACTGACAGAATGATACGTTAAACAAGTGATTCAGTACCTAAAGGCCAATCTTCTAACACAAGGAATCTTCTAGTGGAAACTGAACGATTAACAAAAGTGGGGCTAGGAATTTTCTTCTGGGTAAGCACTTGGGAAAGAAGAGGATCTACTGTTAGCTCAGAATTAGAACAAACTAAGCTTGGCTTAGAGTAAACTGGGCTATACTTAGGAGCGTTGTCTAAAGTTGGGCTGAGCAAAGTCGTCGTTAGAGATTTAGTTCCCATCAATGGCTGGACTGCATTAAATGGTTTTGGTCTTTTTAGATCAAGCCTGAGTTTGGAAGGTTTAGCTTTATGCAGAAAAGATTGATCTTTATTTAAGTTGTGACAAACCAAATTTGACACTGTGGGTTTGATAATACTTTTGTTAGAAAGTTGTGAACTCAACAGGGGAATTGAAAAGGCATTCGCGTTTTCATCGGGGGAAATTGCTTTATCGCCTGAAGAAAAGTGATTCTGACTTTGCTCGGAAGAAAGTTCATTCCTCTTTTGATCAACAAGATTATATGATGGCGAACTGTTAGTATTTGGCACAAAACTAACATTTGTTACTTCAGGTTGGATCGGAGAAGTACTTTCTACCTGTGAAGGTTTTAACCGTTGTTGGGTATCGTTGAAAATGGTAATTTCATTTTGAGTAGACAAATTCTCTGTTTTCAAACTGAAAGACAAAGTTTCATCAGGTTCACAGACTTTAGCTACTTCTGAACGCAATTGTTTTGTATCATTTACATGAGTTGCGATTTCACTACACTTAATCTCACTTACAGTTTTTACAGGCTCTTTAGCTAGGGTCTCACTCATAGAATCATGGTGTACTTGACTTTTTTCACTTGAGGTCACTTCAACCAAAGGTTTAGATTTACGGACTTTCTTCTTAGAAAAGTACTTCTCCTTTCCGCCCTTGGATGGGAAAAGAATTGCGTTTGTCGTTGGTTTTTTGGAACGACTTTCATCAAGAGAGTTTGACTTAAACAGTCTGGGACCCCGTGGAGGGACAGGGGGGCCTGCGTTGGGTAGAGGTTGTGCAGGAGGTAGGGGGGCTTTACCCTTCACTACAGGAGGGACAGGGGGACATTTGTCTAATGGAGGAGGGGGTAGAAGTTTTCTAGGCACTGGTGGAGGCAAAAAGTCAGGGGGAGGGATCCCTGTGAAACACATGTGTAAATTAGATATTATAAAGATGATACGAGGGTTGTCTGTAAATTAACGTCTCCAACAAAGCAACAACGTTCAGACCCAGTCTGGTTTAAATCTATGACCAGCATTAAGTTCTTTACTTCATCCTTTATACTATTGCAGCCAGTTTCAATCCCTATGTCCCACCCCTATTGGTCTCGTCACAGCAACACAAATTAAGTTAAGAAAAATTAATGCTCTAAAAAGTATGAGTTCAATTTATAGTGACGTCCCCATCTTAAATAACTGATATAATTGATTGATAATTTATAAGATATTGCAATATAGGGGACATTTTTAAGGACAATAGGCTAATTGTGGTAGCACTAAAATCCCGATTAGAAAGCATGGTTTTTTGAACTTAAACCACTGTCTCGATGAAAATAAAAACTTATTGACATCCACTGATGGCCTAAAACTGTTTTCAGAAAGTTTCCTAAGCCACGTATGCACATGTTTTACATCTAAGCATTTTTCTTCATACGCATATCTTTCAACTAGCAACAGAGATGAGGGGTTAACTCTCTCACCACAAGAACCTAATCACAGAATTAGATTTAAACTTTGTGGGAGTGTTAATTTTCTCTGATAGTTTTTGGCTGCTCTGACTGGATAAATCTTAACATAGAATGTGGAAACCATCTAACAAAGTTATTAGTGGATACAATTAAGTACTCAGTGCTGGTGGCAGGTTTAAACTAGCCTGCTTGGACACATTGGGAGCTTGACGGAGACCTTAAATTACAGACAGTTGAGTTGCATTTTGGAATCACATAGTTGTTTTTTAGTTAAACTCATCAGAAACTTGGTTTAAGTCGAGGAAACAGGATAATTTCAATCAGATCTAATTTATCACATAAACAATAATCACTCTTCATATATTTTGCTATTTCAGCCTTAGAGGCAAGAATTAAGTTTCTTTATACTTTCGGCATGATAGTTAAAATGTTAAATAAATAGTTAACAACCGAGAATAAATTACCGAGAGACATAGACAGTCCTGGTGCTCCAGAAGTCGAGGTTGAGGTTGAAGTCGAGGCAGTTGTCGAGGAAGCCTCAGCAGCATCACCCTCATCCGTCCCTCGACTCGCTTTCAACTCCTCCTCGACCAGGGACGCCTCAGATGGGTACTCGAACATGGTTGTCGCCTCGTCATTGAACTGGATTCTCAACTGTAAAAGATCGGTTGTTTAGTTTATGATAATGTCTCATTGAATCTTTGCAAACAAGATAGATCTCATATAGAAACTTACAAATTACCACTTGTGAGGTTTAATAAAAAATGTTACATGTCCACCCTTCACTCATCCCGCCTTAAAATATGCACCAAAGTGTGTGTCGCTGTCTTAAAAAATTGAGTTGAATTTTATAATTTAATTTACTGTACATGCTTAAACAATTCCCCTACTTAAACCACCAGCCGCTACTTTTAGATAAGCTAAACAAACTAAGAAGTCCAATTTGTCCAATCAATTTAATTTCCAGGCAAACTTGTATAAACATTATTGCAATATTTAAACGTTGTTAGCTTTTCAGTCATTCTTTGTCCCACCTTCACATCCGATGATACTAGGTTCTAGTCCGAACTGGTTTACATAATAATTTACACTAGTCCTGGAGGATCACAGCATTATCACATCGATAAAACCCATTAGAGATTGGTGGGATTGAATTTTATCTTTAGCCTATATTTGGATTTTGAGACATGGATCCCTGATGATTTTGTATGGACGTAGAACAATGCATATTTTTAACTACAAACGTGGTATTGTTATGAATACTAAGGCTTCTTGCTTCACGTGTACAATACAAGAGTCAACACCCAGCCCTAAGCCTAGGTACACACGTACACGTACACATGAGGGAAATGCCAGACAATGTTAAACCCTCAGTAAACACACCTGCTCAAATCTTAGAGGATGTTTTAAATCTTTCAAAATGTTAACACAGTTGTTTGACTCTGAGAGTTATATTTTGTTTACTTTGTATTAAATTACAAATAAAATATTGTTTTATTGGAAATACTATTTAGTGGAATCCTTATATATAATACGTGAAGGCGATTTCTACAAAACACTACTCCTCCGTTAATAATGGACGGATTTTTACTAACGATGTGTCAAAATTAAGTATTTTTTGTGTAGACACCTCCTTTCACCATTTCCTGTAATAAAAGTCCTTGGACAAGCCCCACAGGCCATAAAAATCCCAATGTATTTCTTATGAAGAAAATATTTTGTTTACTTAAACAGATGAATAATATGCATTAATTACAGCTGTTCAAAGTAAACACATGATGCTGTACACACAAGATGAACGTTCGTTTTCAGAGTGAGTTCGTTTTCAGATTCGATAACTGGAGTGAAGTGATTGATTACATTATATTTGAGTTGACTCTTTAAAGTCATCGGAAATTATGACTTATTCGTTTTTAAATGACGCCGGTAATACTTTGCAATTGCTCGAATTCGAGCAACAGGTGCACTAGTTGGGTCCGCGGAATTGGCTAACTCTGGAACTCGCTAACCCCATGTTAAACACCCTATCTTCAAATTTGGTCGACGAGAGGAACTCACTAAGCCTTCTTTCACACCAGCGCGGTGCGGGACCGTCCCGCACCGGACGAAGCTGTTTAGACTATTAAATCATATGGGAGCTTTCACACCAGTGCGGGTTGATCCGGACAGACCTAAACCTCTGTCCGGGTTGAAAAATCACCCGCACGAACCTAAACTTCCAATGCGGGACCAAACCGCATGATTCGTTTTTAGATCATGGGCTCTTATGTACGCTTTCACACTAGCGCGGGACGGGCTGGTTTCGCCCGCACATAAATCAGTAGTTTTAACAGTCTGCGTCTATCAATGATAGAGTGTGGTTAGTTTTCAAGCCCTCGTATTAAATTAATAGGGCAGTTTGTTGTTTTTGGTATGGAGGTTGAAATTTATATGGAGCTGATTAGTTTGGTCAGTCTTCATATTTTGGTTTAGTTCAAAGACCAGTGTGTAGGACGAGACCCCCACTGCAGCAAACCATCTTTCATTTTCAACGAGCACTTACATGTTCTTATAAATATATGGAAGGAAATGAAGTATTGTTTGCTAAAACCTCCTACAAATATGTGCATAAAAATCCATGTATATCAAAATTGGAAATACAGAAATACTTTATCTACCATAGTGCACTGAACAAAAAAATTGACCCAGATGCTATTGTATATTTCATAACAAGAGTAGAACTGAGTCATTACATATTTGAGACCATGTCTGAAGTGCGAGATTTATCAAGCACTTTAAATGGTCGCGGATAAGTATAGACCCACTTCCAATCGTGTTTTGAACGTTACTTTTCGTTACACAACAAAGAATAATTATTTTCTTAATTACAAAACTCATAGAATTATTTAGGTTATACTATACCTTCGATTTAAAGTTAATGTTTACTTTAGTTGTTGAAAATTGCAACAGTCGATAAAAGAAAAACAAATATTTGTTTGTTTACGTCAGCTAAATCCAAAATAGATAGTAAACATTACTTTTGCATAGTAAACATTCTTTAGCCGTAATAACCAATTCAATGACAGATTTTCGCAGATGATAAACATACAACGAACACATGTCATTTCAAAGTAGTGTAGCAACCTATGAAATATGCTTCTTATTTGGGTGAGAGGTGTATTTAGATTTGAAATCAGTTTATGTCGTTGAAATTATACAGAAGTTTAAGATCCGTTACCCCACAGCTGTTACCATAACTTTAAAAATACAATGAATTGACATTTTTACACACACGACATCGATCCAATTAGGTTATTTAGCAAGGGGGGACTGTATTTTATTTTCGGATACAAGTAGCATCTTACTTTTATATATTTGAATTAAATATATCCAAAAATCACAAAGTTTCAGCCTGGAAACGCCCGGATCCGGGCAGCTAGTGTGAAAGGGCCTTGCGGGTCGTCCCGCATCGACGGTGCGGGACGGTGCCGCACCGCGCTGGTGTGAAAGAAGGCTAACTTGTTCGGTTTCGGAATTGGCTAACTCCGGAACCCGCTAACCCGCTCTAGAGCCGGGTTAGCGAATTCCGTCCTCGTACGGAAGTCGCTAACTCGGTCCCTCGGCGGAACTCGCTAACTCCCAATCAGAAGCCTCGCGGGCCGTCCAATGGGAGCCAAGCACGAAGATTTTTAGCCAGTGTTGCCGAAAGTGTAGTACCTATATCGTATCGGTACCATAATGTCGTATCCTACGAATAATTAATTATAGGATTAAGAGCAACGTAGTTGATAAAATCGACAAAAGTATACCTTACATTATAGTTGATAGTCGATCAACTATATTTAGAAGTATGTTTAATATTATTCTTATGATTATTAGGGTGGAAAATGTATTATAGTCTTACCATAGTCTAACCAACACAAGTAAACTTTGAAGCTCGTTTTTCGCCTCTAGTTCATGTCCGGTGACACTGATCGCTAGTGTCGACCAAATTGTGTTTCTATTATTTTATAGCCAACTTTATGATTAGTTCTTTAATGTTTGGTTATATAACTAGGGGACGTGTTATTAGTTGTGATTAGAACGATTTATTTGGTTAAACGAGGTTTTAAATGACTGAAAACAAGAAACAATTGTAAACAAAACACGACCTCTAATGACAGTGCACCGGACAGATCTAACAATAAAACTGTCTTCAGCTGATCCATAAGGATGAGAAATGTACTAATATAAGGGGGTATGTTTTATATGTGTTTTTCTCACTTAAATAGTAGCTTATTGAGATGCAAAAAGATAATACTGTACATTTAATTTGGATCTTTTACATGTTATGAAATATCTATTTTCGTAGTCCGCCATTTGTTTCTTTTATTCAAATAAATACAATTTTGTGAACTTCTGCAAATATAATTATTAAGTTCGTATTTTATATACTGGGCTTGTAACCTTGAATCATAAAATTGAATCATAAATCATGATAAAATGTGCACGTTAAACGTCATTACAGAAATACATTGTGGTGGTAATGTTTTTTTTTTTTAATAGAGCTATAGAATTTAAATAAATATTGATCAATACATTATAAAGTGGTAGGCCTAATGTATTCATGGATTGCATTAAAAATTTGTATATGCATAAATACAACTTGTAAATTTCTGTTATCATAGTCTATTAGTTAGAAGTCGGGTCATCCTCTAAATTTTGTTTAAATAATATTAATTTTACGTCTTTCAGTAGGCCTACTTTTTAAAAGTGTGGATTTTTTATGGTTCTAAATGGACCCAGTCGTTCTTGTTTGTTATCATTTTTATGAATGGTGGCCATAGCTAAAATTACCTGATCTTATCCAAAAACAAAGCTATAGTCTATTGAGTAGCTCAGTACCGGGGAACGGGGAATTGAGAAATGGCTTGGTATAGTTTATTTCGATTGTGAAATCAATATAAAGGAAACATAACACTCAAATCAGGAAAATCCGTCAAGTCGTTGATTAAGAATCGCGAATTAAAATAAACCTGTCACGTTTTATTATATGAATATTATATCTTCTCCTATTATTTACTAGTGATGCTTCGGTGTACAATCTAAAAACTGTTTTAAAACATGTAACATTATTACTAAAAAATTCAACACATTTTAGAATTAGGCAACTATTTACTAGTAGGCCTAAAATGCTTTGGTTTAAACCATTAGGCCTACAGCTATTTTATAAGTTGATATGAAACTTGGTCTATGTCATATTTGTACACGTTGGACGATTCAACGACGAACATTTAATTTTAAGTCTATGAATTAGTTATGAAAGTTACGATGGTTGATGACTGTATTAATTAATAGTTTTGGTTTATTACGACATTACGATTAAATTTGTTTTCCGTGTTTGAGAACTTGCGTGTATTTTAGCTTAATTTCGTAGAGGTTTAATTATTTAGTACCTACTAAACTGAATTTTAAATAATTTTCATATTATATTATTTTATTTTATACTGATGGCATTTATATTTAAGATCGAAATCATAAACATTTAATTGGCCATTGTACAGTTAAATAAAAATAAAAAAACACTTTTTCATGATATTTTTATTGTCTTTGAATTACTTTGGGCTAGTTATCTGTTAAAAGTGGAATTGATAACAAAAATCATAACATTTACTGTATCTTCATTGACACTGACA